TCACTAGTCCGAAAAAGTAGCAAAACAAGCGTTCGGCATTTAACGTTTTATGTAAAACTGGCTAGGTATTTTTACACAAATGAAGAAGGAAATTAAACATAAAGAATTATACTATATCCATATTGTAGCACATTTTTAGACAACTTTTTTATTTTGAAGATTTTGATGGTCAAACATCAACAAAATATTCCTTATGTTTGGAATAAATGTTCTCGAAAATAAAGACGTAATTTAAAATTCCATTACAATACGGAAATAGATTAAAGTTTTGTGATTACAGTGATATATAATTTATATGGTTTTGTAACAAATTGCTCGCTATTTTATGGCAAATGCTGAAGCTCTGCAAACCTTAATCAAAGCACGTGTATTTGGAATTTTGGGTATGGCTTAACACGACAGGATCGGGCTAAGCTTTAGGCAAATTCCTGAAATATAATATATATTTCCTTCGACCACACACCTGCTTCACCAGACCCCTGAGAGCAACTCGAACAGTATAACGTACTAATCATCTGCTGATGAAGCTAATATGGTTACCAAAACGCGTGTTCAGTGTTTAAAAGCAGTGTTTCGGTGTATTGTGGTGAATTAGTGTGTAACACTAAAGATTCCAACCCCCAACTGTAATCTATGTTATATGTTCCAAAAATAATTTTCATGCGTCATTGGAAAATGATGAAGAGGCGAATTATATTATAAATAGGTAAGTTTCTAAGAATTGGGCTTTCCTTACTTAAAATTTCATCGTGCGCCCCTGACAATGGCCGAGGATAAATGACCTAGCCGACTTGAACAGTGAGTGATAAACCGCGGGGAATTTTCCTTGAAAATGATCGAGAAAAAACCTGAATTAAAGTTCAACATCCACGCAGTATTGTGGCATTGTCAGAAGCGCTAGAAAGTCGAACGCGAATATTTATCCAATTAAAATTAGCACTGTTTGACGTAATTTTTCGTTCGATAGTTGTGTTACTTTTAAAATAGCGCAGATTTTGTGAATGATGTTTACTTTTTGTCGTGCCGCCTAAAAATGGCCAGTTTGATCTGGGTGATAGTACGTCACTGCGTGTCATAGAGGGATTACTTGAAACACGTACATAATTTATTGCTGAAAATCTCAGAGCAACGTCATAACTTACGCATTGCATTTAGTTTCAAGTACTGAGATGTACGTAACATTAGTATTGTCACACCTAGAATAGAATTTTCAAATGTGTCACGCCACTGCAATATGAACGAATGGTTGAGGAGAGGGTGGTAATATAGAACCCCATTTTGTTTTATTTTTTCTATTAACGACAAAAACTATACATGAGAAAGTTCGTTGTTTAATGATTTGTTAATTACTGAATAATAAAATTAACACCAAGAAAGCTACTTTGGAGAAAAGTACCAATTTCAATCAAAGCGCAATTTTCGCGCGTGAAAAAATATGCTTATAATATGGACCCCCAGAAATTTATCAGGATTTTTAAAAAAATGTAAACATAGGCAAAATATATGATTAAAAAAATACACAATATTGGAAATACAAAAATGTAATATTTTATTTTCATCAACGTTATCAACATTGATCGACAAAAATCGCAATTTTTCACAGTCCGCACACTCAAAGTGGGTCTACATTTCATACAACCTTGTTATCATAATTACAAATTATGTATATAATAGTCCCCCTGTACGTAATATGGAACCCAGTTCCAAAATACCAGCAGAAAAGAGGGTGCATATTAACAACAATACATGCTTTTGAAAATTGTTACGTTATATTTTTATAGATATCATTAATGATATTTCTGTAAGAAAACATTATGAACAAACCCTATATTAAACTATTAAAACACTCGAAACTTACTTACCACAAAATAAGTCAGAATTATTGTATAATATTCTTGGTAAAAAAGCTTTAAGAAACCTGCGATCAGCACATAGATCGTTTATAGCTAAACTAGCGACACGGCATAATATATTATAAGCATTTTGGCGTTTGTAGATGACTACTAACATAGTTTTAGTTACTTAGTACAAATGTCATCTGTATATAGTTCCATAATAAAAGAGGGGTTCCATAATATTAGCACGTTCCATATTACAACCCTTTCCTCTAACATTCGTCAGGTCTGTCTTCGGCTTTATAATTTTGCTCTTTCATTACACCTAACATCTAACATATCTCTAGATTTCTGTAAATATTTACAATTTTGAGAAAAAAGCAATATGAGTAATCCAAACAACATAACAATATATTTGTTATCCTACCAACATATGAAATTTCATCGCCTTGAAAGAATATCCACTTAATTTTCCTTAGAATTAACATTTATATTGTAAGAGAAAATATCGGTATTAAGTATTTTAAGTTAAGAGCGATTGTCATAGAAAACATTCTTCAGTTGTTATTTTCATTTTTTTTTTCTGTTGTTATTTATTAGATAATGTGTTTATCTCTGGATTGGATTATTACTTGTTTGTCTCGTTATAGTCGGATTTTGAACAGCTATTTTTTTCTGTTATATCTCACCATCATTCAGACATTTTCAACATTTTTTGTTGGCTAAGCAACTTTGTGTACAAACAGCCCTAGTATAAGATGTTTACATGCGTAGATTCTAAACCAAGTAGCATTATACCATAATTTCTTTATAAATTTTCCTGTTCCAGTGGTGCTATTTTTAAATCTCGAAAATAACTTTATCCAACATAATTACATATGAAGATAGTTTAACTACAACAGAACCTTTTAAAGGTAGAAAAAATGTTCATATCTAACTCTAGTAATCATATACCATTTATAATCTATACGAAATCAATACGATTAAAAAAAGGCTATTACTTTTAGTATTTCAAGAATTTTTTCTGAGAAAAATCTCAAAATATTTCAAAATATCGGAAGATATCCTGCTATAAAAATTCTTAACTTCTTGACTCAACCTTAAATATAGCCAGTACTGTTTACCGACCTTCACCTGTTCAAAATCAGTGTTACCATTTTATAATTGTTTACACCATATCTTTCTAGCGTTAATGATTATTAAGACCTCATTTTATGTATCTATCCACCTATTTGCCGTCTTTAAAAATAGATGTTTTCTAAACTTTCTTCCTCTATTTTTCGATTAAATAGTATCTAGGTCTAAATCATTTTCATTAATACGCATTGTTTCAATTATTAAAATAATAAATTCGGCGCTATAAACATAATGCCGTAAACTAAAAGTAAAAATAAGTCTATATATCATATATATTATTCTATTGTAGAAGGTATGTTATGATCTTTATTATGCCTAGAGAAAATTCTATTTTTAAAGCTAATGACTAACGATAGCAAAGCACTCTCCCATTCATTTAACAAACATTTTTTTTCTCAAAATACATCAGCTCAAATTTTATTTGTAAGCTTGTCTAGAAATAAACTAAGTGATATTGTTTGGTTTTCTGGCATGAAAAAATTGAGACCGGTAAAAAAGTGTTGACCCGAATTGTCGGTGAGATGAATTTTTTTCTGTACAAGATGGATAATATAAAATAAATGGAACAGTGTAAAAATAATAGAAAAGTTGATGAGAATGAGTGACGTTTCAATTGGAACTGACTAAATTTGGCATGGTCTCAATATTTTTAATATAATTTTTAAACTATAAATATATAGGTACTAATATTTTTTAAGTTTGAAATACATATTGACAAAATATTTACCTATGTAGGAATCTATTGCAGTTTATGTTAATTACAGATATAAATTCAATTCACATTTGATTGTCTGCTTGAATTGTTATATTGTGTTTAAATTGTTTTTTTTTCTTCTTTACTTTGTACTTTGTTGTGTTTTTTTTCTTATTTTGTATTTGTTTTTATTACTATATTAGTTTAGATTATATGTGGCCCATTAATAGTTAGGTGTAGAGTAGCTTACTAAATAAAATTAAAACTTTATAAAAAAAACAATTAAAAATTTTTAAATTATTTATTCTTGTTAGTTTAACGACCCTAACAGTTATGAAAGAAATGTGATTCCCACCTGTCTGACCGCCAAAAATTATGGATTATGTAAATTGTTTAAGCAATTGTCCTAGATTTTTTTCTAATAGTGTTCAATTCTCGTTCAAGGGCACTAATGTTTACAAAAGTTCATCTGTAGTCAAGGCTGATAACGGATTGCCAGATTATGTTAGTCACTAGAATAAAATAAAAAAAAAAATTTGTGGTTTAATTTATAGGGCATGTTTAATTATTATCATTCATGCATCATTTAATTATGACGCATTTTTGAAGCCTACTTCATGGCTAATATATTTATTAATAGGCGTTATTAAAACACTATTTTAAACTAAATTAATTTAGATAAACCTAATTAAAAGTAAGAGCTGTTTTCTTAATATTTTCTTAGCAGTATACTGTGTTCTTTTTTTTTAACGCATTAATTCGTGTTACATTGCCACTGAAACAAAAACCTTAAAAATTATTTATTTACTTATGTCATATTCTACTCATATAAAAATTTGCCCAGCCAACAAAACTCTCAGCATTTCAAATCGTATTTGTATGTACTATTTTGTTTATTAATTTTCTTACTGTTTATTAATATTAAAAAACATTAGTATTACCTCGTACTAGCTTGCTGACTTAAACAACATTGAAAATCTAACAATACTTGCTTGAAAACATTTTTATAGAAATTTGTATAAAAGTTTTTCATTAAAAAGAAATGTTCTTTATAACAGTCTGTTTTAATTTCTAAAATTACCATCCAAAATAAATATATGTATGAAAAGGATTTTAAATGGCGTGTGCGGTAAATTCTTATTAGTTGCCAAAATTTGTTTCGCAGCTACCTAACACGTGAACGAATATTTCTATTGACGTTTTTTATCATTATCTTTACCGAAACGATGGATTTGTAGTTTACTGTTCAATTAGGCGAAAAGCAAAAACGTCATTTATTATATCTAATCAAAAACTAAATTAGTTTAGCCTAACGCAACAGTTAACCTACTTACCAGTGTTACTCCTGTATTCTCCAATATATCTTCTTGTGAGGTATCGGACAGTCAATGCTGAAAAAAAAATATAAATTATAAATTTAAGTACATTTTACCAAATTATATATAAAGCGCATTTCACACATATTTTTATGAATAAAACTGATATTTTTAGGTTATCCATTTAACATACTAATATTAAATTTACATTAATAGTGTACACATAGTTTTAAAATATACACATATATATTTTTATTCAATTTTATTCATAATTTAACAAGGTATGATGAACATATTACTAGAAAAACTATACATTATTCAACGTCAAGAATAAGGTATAGTTTTTCTAGTTTAGCTTAAGAATTATATCGTATACAATATTTTCGACCTGTAATCATTTAGGATATTCTACTAGCCCAGCTGTTCATTTTTTTTTTCATCAACTAAAAATTCAGACGAATAAGTGAATTTTGCTGTTTACTAATCAAGAATAATATCATACCAATTAAACTTTTAATCAGGTGATTAAGCTTCATCGACACAGCGTTGCCCAATTTTACATATTTTCTTTTAATCAAACTATTTAGGGAATAAAAATGAATTAATTATAAATATAAAAACAGTTATTATTTACATCAACAAAACTCACTTCTTTAACAACACTTAAGAGGCATAAAGGGCCATTATTTACGGTATTCCCGTTCAAAATATTCTAATAAGGTTGCGATGAGTTTTTAGAAACGGCTGTTAAGCTGCGTCGCTATCTTGCGCACCCCGCACTACAAGCGGCTCTAAAAAAACAATTTTTGACTGCAAGGTCTGCTAGTAAAAAATTCACTTAAACCAAAAACTCTAATAAATCAAAACTAAAGTGTCAAAATAGATCAAAATGTCAGGAAATAAATAAATAAATGTGGCAACTTCGCATTTTTTACAGCAGAGGTACCACCTGAATCGCCAGTGAGAAATTTAAATTCCAGTTAGTCAGCCCGGCGCCGAATATTTCCATGGTTGGCAACAATAAATTTAATAATCGCGCCTTCTATGACGTAACTAAAAATTTATTTGGTATCGCTTATATTTTGTAATATTACCAATAAAATACTTGATATTTTAATATAAATTTTCTTGTTGCGATTTTGGAAATTATTTCTTTTTTACTTTCCAAAGCACTAACTATTTCATATAGAGGCACTGTAATATCTTTTGATTTTTGACACACTAGGTACTGATATTAAGTAGAAATGGTTAATTTCATTATTCGTGTAGACATATCTGCAAAAATGCAATAAATGTTCTTGCTTTAACTTGATTTATATTTTTTCAAATAAGAATGAAGAGTAAATATACCTCTTGTGAAATGTCACGTATTAGATATAACTAAGAAGAAAGTCATAACAGGACTCCATGGTTCAAACAATATAAATCCTTGACAAAGCAACAAATAACCACCATGTGTCGACTCAGATCAAACCATTGCTTATCCCGGTCACATCTCTATAAAATCAGAATTAATAGAGACAATTTGTGTCAGTGTGGAGAGGTTGCTGATGTCTGTCACTGTGTATAATCACCAAAAAAATCTTATACTCCTATTTCGACAATGAGATCAAAAACCGGCTTCCCTGCATGACATCCTTTTCAAATTCAACCAGACAGCACACATAAAACAAGTCGCTTTGTTTTTGAATGTTAGTAATTTAAAACTCTAAATATTTACTAATAACAAGCCTAACATTAACTTTATCAAGAAAAAAAACTAGCCGCCAATTTGAAATGTCATAATCACATTTTCTTGAAATGCACAGTAATTATTGGGACTTAGATCTGCTATTCGTAGAATGCATGCATAACTGAATAGTTGCAGAGCTTAAAGCAACCTGTTTAATAGCCTCAATAATTGTTAGTCGTTAAGAAAGACAAATCGGTGAAAGTTCATAAAACGTGACCACCCAGAAAAAAGATAAGCAGAAAAGTACTTTACCAGAATGGTCCTGGCAGCCTAGGCAATGCAACTCCCTCCTAAAAAGGAGAGTTTGAGAAGAAAGAAGAAGAAGAAACATGTTTTAATAATTTCTTAATCCATCAATTATATTGAATTATTTTAAAATGTTTTTGATTAATGGAGATATTGTCAGAAACTTTATGAATTTTTCCACATGCTATGCACGAAATTACATAGTTTGATAGTTTGACATCTAAAAATTATCAGAAAAATACAATTAACTTTTCAATTAAAATTACCGACAACAACTGTCACTGACAGACAATTTTTGAACAAATTGTTTCCAACTGGAAACAACGTTAACCTTGACACTTTGGTTTGGTCTGCAAGCAATTTTAAACGCAAACATTTATTTCCCAATACAATAGCGATGAATCTACGAAAAAAATCAAGGTTGGTATACGTAAGCTCTTTTTGATTTAAGATAACCGACGAACTGACCTCAACCCAAAACCAAAAACCGAAAATTAGGTCGAATGTTTCGTATATGCATAGCGCACGCAGAAAAGATCGAATGTACACGCAAAAATAAAGTAATAATAAAAATCGAGGCTCACTTACCGCAAGCCGACAGAAACTACCATTCAATCGAGTAATGATCTGAAAATAGCCTTCAAAAACATCGCAGAATAAACGCTTCCATAAAAAACGTCGAATGGATTTGACTGGTCTGGCACAAACTCAACATTAAATCTAATACAATGAAAACACTTCCTCATTCTCTTTGCTACCTGCTGAGCTGGCCACCGGCAAAATTTATGGATTTAACATTCGCGGGCTTCATAAAATAGTTTGGAATAAATATTAATACTATAACTAATGGTCTATTTAAAATACTTTTAGAATATTTAATAGATAGTCCAAAATTAATTTTCCTATTTTTTTAACTAATGGGACATTGGGATTATGTGAATAATAAATATTCATTGGTAAACTTGGCACTAAAAGATACCATAAAGTTGGGATCAAACATATTATTAGAATATTATTAAATTATTACGTCGTTTAAGAATTTAATTTCTGACATAACTTATTTAAATAAACATAATCTTAATATCAACGGTCCAAATATAAAACTTTTTATTTTCGTCTTCTTTGTTTTCTTCTCTCTAACCTCTCTTCTCAAACCAAACTTTGACACTAAGTATGAGTAAAGTATGATTTTAACTAGTAGTATATACAATTTAATAATAGTTATTTTTTATACATGACGATAAAATGGTATTTTGACCGAAAAGATTAATTCACGAGCGATAAAATCGCGAGTGAATTAATTTCGGGCGACGATAATGCAATTTTATCGTCGTGTATAAAAGAATGTGTTTTTCCATAGCAAGTTACGTTTTAAAAATATTCAGAAATTATTATTTCAAGGAATTTATTACGAGTAGAAAAAATATTGTGTTGGGTTGGCGTTGGTTTCTATATAATTTGACAAATAAATAAAGCTGTCTCTTTAGTTGTCAGTTTTGAGTCAATATTTTTTAATTCTCTTTCGTGTCAACTGCTGATTGAATTGGAGCCAGAAATGGCTCAAAACGAAATAAGTAAATTACCAATAGATATTCAGGTTGAGGCGACAAACGCCATATCCAAACTACTTCCATTTAAATCCCGAATAACTTATGAAAAGGAATACAAAAATTTTCAAAAATGGAAGCAATTAAAAAAACGTGCCAGAAGAAATAAAGTTTTTAACCTATCCTTGCTGTTAAAGTATCATTTAATCTACCCTTGCGGTTAAAGTAGGTACTATTTTATATACTATTTTTGATAGATATAAGGCAATTTTAACAGTTGCTATGCAAAAAAAATATTATTAGCATCAGAGTAATATAGATTTAGACTTGTAACAATCCAACTTACAGACCAGACAAAAAATTTTAATTTTTATTTGTTGGTTGTTTTTAAACACACAACTTTACACCATGGAAGGAATTTTATGTCTCTACAGGGTGTCTTAAATAAATGCAAATATCTTCAGGGCTGATAGATTTCCATAAAAGAAACATATTTTCTCTTTGCCGTTCAAAGGTCCAAAATAACCGAGCTAATGTACTTTGAAAATTTAAAAAAAAAAGATTTTTTTTTCCTATATTTTTGAGAACCACTGGATCTTTTCTGGGTTTTATTTCTTCTAAATTTAATCTACTACCTATGCTGCTAGATTATCAAGAAATTTTCTTTTCAAGCAAAAACTAAAAAGAATTCCAAAATTTTTTTCTAAAAATTCCAAATTTTCAAATTTTTTTCGGTTAAAAAACCTCATAATCGTGTTTCTGGGATCGAAATATACTACCCCTAAAAATATTTGCACTTATTTAAGACTCACTCTGTATAATTCCAACTTTCTGTTATTGAATGATACATAATCTTAATATGTGTAAATGGTTTTAGGGCTGGTATATCTCGATAGCTCTTAATATGTGCAAATGATTTTAGGGCTGGTATATATCGACAATCTATTACACCTTATCATCAAAGGTAAAATTCAAGGGAAACGAGGTCCAGGCAAAAGACAGATGTTGTGGATGAGAAACATAAAGGGTTGAACAGGAATGAATGTCCAAACACTCGGCAGAACAGCAGAAATACAAGAAGAATTCGCTGTGGTTATCGCCAATCTTCGCTGAGAAGAGGCACCTCAAGAAGAAGAAGATATCTCGATAAAAGAAATATTTTTTATCTACGTCGTCGTTTTTCAAATAAGCCCAAAAGCGCCGAATTATTTTACTTTAAAAATTAAAAAAAAAATCGAAAACACAAAAATTACAAAATATTTTTTCGCGAAAAAAAATCATATACATATTCCTGAGTTCCAATTATACCACCCCTAAAAATATTTGCAGTTTTTTATGACTCTTCCTGTATAATATTTCATTTTTCACTGCCCAATCAATGATTTTAAAAGCGTTTACCATATTTTTGGCTAATTTTCAAAGTTTAATAGTTATTAATTAATGTTTTATGGGTTGAAGATGTATAGTACCTAAAAATAAAACGCATATTAAACTTAAATAATATCTATTAAATCAATAATATTTTAAAGCACTTTATACCAAACCGATAATTGAATTTTAAACAATTAGCCACATTTAACATTTAAAATTATATCATTTTTAAGGTTCCGTACCCAAAGGGTAAAAACGGGAACCCATTACTAAGACTTCGCTGTCTTACAAAGTCTGTCACAAAGGTCTATCTTATGAACCCTTATAGCTAGATAGTTGACATTTTTACAGATAATGTATCTATGTTGCCGCTATAAGAACAAGTACTAAAAACAGAATTAAATAAATGTTTATAAATAAAAAAGTACTTTCACTAAACATTCTCTTTTAAATAAGAATTTTACATAGAATCTTTCAAGACCTCGGTGGCCGCGTGGTTAAAGCGTTAGGACTTTACGCTGCTATGACGTTGGAGCCGTAGTAAGGCAGGTTCAAATCCTAGTGAAGGCGAATTTTTTTAATCTTTTTTTTTATTTTTACATATTTTTACATATTTATTATTGATTAATACAATTTTTAGTAATGTGTTTCTTCATTTTTTTTTAAATTACTTATACGAGCATTCAAAATTTCAGCTAAATCGGAAAAAAAAAGTTTATAATAATATAGTGTCTAATGTTGTATAGATAATGAATGGTACGGAACCCTTCGTGCGCGAGTCCGACTCGCACTTGACCAATTTTTGATACATTAATATTATGATTAAGGAATGGTCTCCATATGCTGGCTGCATCCACGCGCATAACCTTCTCAACCGAACTTATATTATTAATCTTAATATAAGATCTGCTATGTTTAATTCAAAATAATTCGCACGTTTTAATTTTAACTAATCTGGCTCATACTCAAAATTTAATTTGCTATTATAAAATGCTTCCTGGTTCTCGGTTGACTTGTAAAAAAATCGTATAAACTATTTCAATTTTCACTCCGAAGGTTAAAAATTAAAAACCCTATTTTATACCCGCCCAATTAGATATTTATAGAATACAGGATGCATTCGTAGCGTTAAATGTGATAAATAATGTATGTTAATTATAGTCCTAATTTTTATTTTCCAGGACTCTACTGTATGAAGAAAAAATACACAGAAAATTGGACTCTAATAGCAAGGAATAATCAGTTTAACTTTGATAAATGAATTTAAATTTTTCAATATCAATTTATGTAGACTTGAGCTATAAGTACATACCTGACTTTCCAACATTTGATTTGCCAATAACCGCTATACGGGCTTTAGGAACAGTGTTTTTGTCTTCGGTTTTCATTTTCTGTAACAAAAAATATAAATGTACTATCTACTATATTAAAAAATTCCTATAAAGGATTTTTTTGGAGAGATGAATCCGCCACATAGGTATTGACATTTTTTACTACATTAATAAAACAATCATTATTTTTTGTTAATATTATCATGATCTTGAACGCCCTATTACAACTATAGGTACTTATAATATTTACCTATAGGAATAACCCTATAAGTAAATAAATATAAGTCATTTATTCTATAGTTTGTACAATGAGAGAATACATGATAACGAGAGGTGTTGTCTGTCATTTTAAATCAAAAAACAGTACTGTGAGAATTTTCAGGTCAGGGGCTTGGAAGAAAAGGACCCTCAAAAAGAAAATTCCACTTGAAATTCCACTCCCAGTGGATGACATACCAAGAATTTACAACTTTGAGAAATACCTCACTATAGTATTGAGAGATAAAAAGGATTGGAAGAGTTGGGTTGGGGTTGCTCAGCATGTAAAAGACCATACCATAACGTGGTATACTGATGCTTTCAAAACTAAAGCAGGGACAGGGATAGGAGTATTTGGGCCAAAAACTAAATACTTCGAATCAATGGGCACCTACCCCACCATCCTTCAGGTAGAAATCTACCCTATCGAAAGATGCGTATCATTTATTTTAGATAGAAACTATGGAAAACAGGAAATAGCCATCTTATCCGATAGTCAAGCAGCACTAAACGCGATGAACTCAGTAACCATCAATTCGAAGTTGGTGAAAGAATGCCTAGAAAAGCTCAACAACTTATGCAAAGAAAATAAAGTCTTCCTACTCTGGATGCCCGCTTACCAAGGAATAGAAGGCAATGAAAAAGAAAATGATCTAGCTAGAAAAGAAGCAAATACTCCACTAAATGGACCAGAACAGTTCTGCTTCTCAAGAACCGTTCTGTTTTCCAAGCGGTGACCATCTAAAAGCGGAACTGAAGAACCTGGAAGACTCCATCCGTAACCTGAAATGGGAGTCCTCCAACGGTCTCAGACATTCAAAAAAGTCCCTCAGAACTTACGACCGAGAAAAATCAAAGATTTTTCTTGATTTAAGTAAAAACAATCCTCGGATTGTCACGGAGTTTCTAACAGGACACTGTCTCCTCAACGAACACCTCAGTAGGCTGAAGCTGAGAAACAAGGGCAAATGCAGATTCTGTGGGGAAAATGGGGAATCACCAGAACACCTTATCACTGAGTGCGCTGAGACGACGACCGTTCGTGCCATGAACTTTAGTATGGCTGATGTCGAGGATGGAGAGCTGGCCTCTGCGGACTCGTCTCAGATACTGGCTTTTGTTAAAGCCCTGAGATAAATCGTTATTATAACTCGTTATAACTAAAGAAAGGGGAACACACACTAGATCTGTAAGGTCGCGGTGATTAACCCCCCTCCTAAACATTCTACATTCTACTATATAATAAGAAATTCCATTAAAATATTTTTGAATAATAAAAGTATAAATAAACTGAGGAAATGGTGAATAAGAATTTATTACGTTATTATTTAGTTTATTATTATTGTTCTCAGTTCCGTTTCTATGTTTTGCTCAAAATTGTATTATTACGAAACACGGTTCCTGAAGAATATACGTAATTATTGTCACCAAATAGGGCTAGTTTTTCTGGTTCGTTTGTCCAGTATACCGGGTTCGTCTAGAAAGTGGCTCATCTCTTTTATTTTTTTAGTATGTAGTATATTACAAAAATTAGGATTGATTGACGCATTTAATTGTTTTTGGTCACTTACTGTTTCACAGGAAATGACAAAAACAAAACAATACCACTTTTGATTTTTAAATGGCACTCATTAATGGTATATTTCTGCTTTATTCGAAAGAAAATAACACTCTGAGTGGTATGACATATCATATGTCAACTTTTGACACTTTCGCTTAAAAAATCGTATTTTAAATTTCAATCTAGATTGCCATGGCTGTGTTAAAAACACTAAAAATAGATTTGATCGTCTAATGTTTTTCGTGTCTTGTTCTGGCCGGTTAAAAGATACCCAAATCGTATTTTTAATCGTATCTCATTTTTTTTCAAAGAAACAATGGTGGCTCATAGGCATATTTGTAAAAAGCATACTTTTAAGAATAATTTAGAACCACACACTTGGTATTTCGAATCAAATTGTCGTTAACCGCATCTTCCAATTTCAAATAAACCATATGCGAAAATGTCAAAAGTTGACATATGATATGTCATTCTATTCAGAGTGTCATTTTCTATCGAGTAAAGTATAAATACAGCGAGGGTGCTATTTAAAAATCAAAAACCATTGCCGCTGAAACAGAAAGTGACCAAAAACAATTGAATACCATCAATTGATCCTAATTTATGTCATATACTCCACATACCAAATCTCGTTTTTTTATCTGAAAAAATAAAAAAATTCTAGCGGTGAGCCACTTTTGAGACACACTCGGTATATCAATTAATCTCTTTTTTGTTGCAAAATAAACTGTCTGACGAGTTTAACAGCTCATTTACAGAGTATTTCCAACATTAAACTCCATTGAGAAGATGAATCAGATATGAAATAATATTTCTGTAATAAAAATATTCAAGTTTAATAAACGGCAAAATAAAATAAACAAATTAATTAATATATTTAATTACCAAGTTTTTAAAATATCCTGTAGATATTTATAATCCGATAAATATCCTTAAAAAATATTCAAATACAATACTAAAAAAGACTATACTATAAACTTATTTTTATATTGAGTAAAATCAATTTTAAATGTTGGAGTTTAAAATTCGAGAAAAAATATTTTTTTGGAAATAGATTTCTGAAATTTTTTTTTAATCTTTCTATAATTAGTGTCAATTTTGACAAGTTTTATGTCAATTTATAGTAAATGACGTCTATAGATTGACCTCGTCAAAAATTATCATCGATTGTCATTTCCCAGACCTCTTTAACGCCGTTTTTATGCGATCATACGTTATTTTCCATTCAATACATCAAGTTACAAAAGCTGATTGAGAAACAAGTCTAGCTAAAAATACCAGCTTATATTTTTTTACTAAAGTGAAAAAAACTGGAAAATTAATGTTGGCAAAGGATCTATATAATCAATTATAATGCTCATCCCATTAAGTTATTATACTGTGAAAAAATTTGGCGAACATTACAAAGAATCCATTTTGCCTAAAATAAAAAAATCACCGGGACTAGAGTCTAATCGATTCGGCACTATCGTAATTCGGTACCGTTTAATCCAGGTTAGAATGCAAATAAACTATCTACGCAGTAACACAATAAAAGAAAAAGAAAACAAGATTTCGGAAAGCACATACACCTGACTCCGTAAAGTTTACATACAATTCCTAGAAATCCAGACTGATTCCATGATGTTGTGGATAGGCGAGGCAATGTTGCCAGACCGAGATATTTTTAACTGGGTCTAGTAGCATATAAATAGATTTATTTGTATAACGTTTGTCATATGAAACTAAACATTTCATTATCTCAATAATAATTATAGGATAAAGTAATGAGAAAGTAAACGATTTAGCTAAAACAGGAGCAAACACTTTACTAACTGAACCAGAACCGTTCCGCTTTCCAAGTGGAAACCAACTTAAAGCAAAACTCAAAAACATGGAAGACTGTATCCGTAACCTGGAATGGGAGAATCATCCAAACAGAACACTGCCTCCTCAATGAATACCTCAGTAGATTTGAGCAGCTAAGAAACAACGGCGAATACAGAATCTCTGGGGAAAATGGGGGAAACACCAAAACACCTAATCAATGAGTAGCCGAGACGAGAACCATTCGTGCTATAAACTTTGATACGACTGACATCGGAGATGGAAAACTAACCTCTGTAAAACCGTCCCATATACTGGCTTTTGTCAAAGCCCTGAGACTGGGAATAATACGATAGGAATAAGAAGATAGAGAAGGAAGATACAATAGATCTATAAGGTCGCGATGATGACAAAACAATTTTATTTTGACTTTTCTAAAAAAATAGTACCGGTGGTACTTGTTGGTTTGTAATGTTTAATAAGAATGAATTTTTCTTTTTCTGTTTATTCTTTTTATTTTTATTTCATTAAAATATTATCGCAAATGTAAGTTTTATAATACTGTCTGGCAACATTGGTTCCAGAATCGGCGCCGCCATGCTCCTAAAAATAGAGACCTCGTTGAGGAATTCCACGGGTGAGGAGGAGTAAGGGGAGCCCGGCAGTACCGCTGAACACGTCCAAAATCAGACGGTTAAAAATACCGATCGCTATGTATCGTTCCAACCCTGAGTCTCGATTGTTTGATGAATTAAAATGAACAAAACAATACGCAGTCGAAATTGTTTCCATTAAATAAACTAGATTAATATTATTAAACAAAAAATAAATAAAAAATATTATTAAAAAACGATTAATCAAAATTAATTTTATGTTTTATTTTTTCTTTCCTTTTTCTTTTCTCCTTTATTTTGGTCTTTTTATTTATTTTTTTTTCTTTTCTTTTTTTTCTTTTTGTTTTGCCGACGTAACCGCGCCTTGTTAACAGCTGATAGTGAGGTCTCGGCAATAATTGTAGCGTATGTTTATGGCTATCAGATTTTGCCACCATCTTCGAACTACCATTTTCATTTCTTGTTTGTTCTTTTTCCTTTTCTTCTTTTTCTACTTTATGTCTTTGTTTTGTTTTCTTTCTTCTTTTCATTTTTTTATTTTTAAATAAAATTCGTATTGTATATGTGTATGTATTGTAAGTACCACTCAATCTATCCTTCAATTACAGTGGTCATCAGAACTATTTGATGCCGAACAGCATTTTTCACACTAAATTCAAATAAGGAACAGATTTTTAATATATCAGACTTCGCAAATAACACCTAAAATGACATTGCTATCCTGTCGGAGAGAGAAACTTAAATTTTTATTTAATATTCTCTGTAATATGTGAGTTTAGTTGTTTAGTTGCTTAGAGAACCTAAGAAAAAAAATCTACTCC